GCACCCACAGGGGTGGAGGGAGGGGGGGAGGAGGACCATGGCGTCACCCCGCACACACCCACAGCAACACACCACACCCACACCACATCCACAGAGGGGGGGGGGGAGCCACCACGCCACGCCCACGCCCACGCCCACAGGGGGGGGGGTAGCATCGCGCGAACGGGGGGGGGCCGGCATTAGCATTGGGGGGGGCGTGTGGGGGGCCCAAACCTCGACCATATGAATGTCGAGGTTTGGCCCCCCCTCCCAATGCTAAATGCCATCCCCCCCCCCCCCCGCGCGATGCCCCCCGTGGGCGTGGGCGTGGCGTGGTGGCTTCCCCGGTCCCCCCCCCTCTGAGGATGTGGAGGGATGTGGAGTGGGTGTGGTGTGTTGCTGTGGGCGTGTGCGGGGTGACGCCATGGTCCTCCTCCCCCCCTCCCTCCCCCCCTGTGGGTGTGGTGGGGGTGCGGCGTGTGGCTGGGATTGTGGCGTCGTGTTGACAGACGTCGTCGCCGCCGCCGCTGGTGGTGCCGTCGACGTCGTCGTCGTTGTCGTCGTCGTCGTTGTCGTCGTCGTCGTCGTCGTCGTCGGTGTCGTCGTCGTCGTCGTCGTCGTCGTCGTCGTCGTCGTCGTCGTCGTCGTCGTCGTCGTCGTCGTCGTCATAGCCGTCGTCGTCGTCGTCCTCCTCCTCCTCCTCCTCGTCCTCGTCCTCCTCCTCCTCCTCCTCCTGCTGCTCCTCTTCCTCCCCCACCGCATCCCATCTGGGGGGAGGGGGAAGGGGGGCCGAGGACCCCGGGACCCATCCCATCTGGGGGGGGGAGGCCGTGGGCCCATCTGGGGATGGGGGGGGGGAGGACGAGGAGGAGGAGGAGAGGAGGAGGAGGAGGAGGAGGAGGAGGAGGAAGAGGACGAGGACGAGAGGAGGAGAGGAAGAGACGGAGGAGGAGGATGAGGAGGAGGAGGAGGAGGAGGAGGACATGACGCGGCAATGACCGACGCAATGGCGAGACGACGACGACGACGACGACGACGACGACGACGACGACGACGACGACGACACCGACACCGACAACGACGACGACGACGACAACGACGACAACAACGACGACGACGTCGACGGCACCACCAGCGGCGGCGGCCACGACGTCGAGCACCGGAGCTGTCAACATTACGCCAATCCCAGCCACACGCCGCACCCACACCGCACCCACAGGGGGGGAGGTAAGGGGGGAGGAGGACCATGGCGTCACCCCGCACACACCCACAGCAACACACCACACCCACACCACATCCACAGGGGGGGGAGCCACCACGCCACGCCCACGCCCACAGGGGGAGGGGGGGGGGCATCGCGCGGAAGGGGGGGGCCCGACGGCATTAGCATTGGGGGGGGGGGCAAACCCTCGACCATATATACTATAACCATCGCGCGCGTTTCGCGCGCGCTCAAGTTCTAGCTGGGCCCGACAGGCTAACGCATGGAATCGCAATTGTTGAAGCGCCTTGTGTATCTAACGACCTTGTTGGAGTCCCTGCGCAAGCCTCGGAAGCGTATAGAAGGGGGAATGCGGAAACCACAAAATCATCAACTTGCTTTAGGTGCTCGATGATTTGAGGCCCTCGAAAGCTTCCTGGGATCTTTCTTCGATGGTGACGGGTGCCTTAATGATGGTCTGATGTGCAAAAATAGACGGGGGGTAAATTTGAATTGGCCTGGCGAAAGACCCAACCATATGCAATTGTGAGCACCGCTGTTGTAGGCATCGTCTTCGGTGGAGCCCCCTTGTAGGGCCACGAAACGCTGCCCCAAGAAAAACCCCAAACAGCCTCCGCGAATCCCGAGAAAATCGTAGTGTGTGGCTGTGCACGGACACACACTCAGGCATGCGCAGACATTTTCACATGCATCCGTACGAGTATGTGAGAATCCGTGATCCACCGCCGCTTTACTATGAAAAATTCCCCCCACCCCCCATCCCTGAACCCCCCCCCTCCGGAAAACCGGAAGGGGCCACTACCGGGCCCCCCCCCTCTCCGGAAAACCGGGGGGATCACTACCGGTTCGAACCCTTCCCCCCCCCTCGAAAACCGGGGGGGGTCACTACCGGTTCGAACCCCCCCCCCCCCTCGAACACCAGGGGGGGTCACTACCGGTTCGAACCTCCCCCCCCCTCGAAAACCGAGGGGGTCACTACCGGTTCGAACCCCTCCCCCCCCCACGCTCACCGCCAACAAACAACTCTGGGTCCCTACCACCGTCCGCACCACATCCCCCTCTGCTGTCCCCAGCACCACTGTCCTCACCACCACTGTCCCCGCTGTTCCCACCACCGTCCCCACTGTCCCCACCAGTGCCCCCTCCACCCTCGCACTGACCCCACTGTCCCCGCCACTGTTCCGACCACGGTTCCAGTCTCCCCACTTTCTTCACGGCCCCAACCACTGTCCCACTGTCCCCGCTGTCCCACTGTCCCCGCCGCTGTCCCACTGAGCTGTCCCACTGTTCCCACCACTGCCCCCAGTGTCCCCACCACTGTCCCTACTGTACCTCTGTCCCATTATCCCACCGCCGTCCTCGCCACCGCCCTCACCAATGTCTCCACCACCACTGTACCCTCCACTGTCCCACTGTTTCCACAACGTTCCCACTGTTCCCACACCACTGTCCCCACCACCACAGTCCCCACCACTGTCCCACTGTCCCAACTGTTCCCACAATTGTCCCCGCTGTCCCCACCCGGCGCTCCCACCGAGAACTAAATAAATAAGCATTCAATTCCATAGTAACCAAAGAAAATAAAACGAAAACGAACACCAATTCCAACCAGAAAGACCCCTAAAAAAGAAACCAAACCCAAACAAAAAAAAAATCAATAATAGGGGTGCAAAAACAATCAAATCAACACCAAAACCACAATAACAACAACACACACATACACCAAAAAGATAAACCAAGCAGACACCAATAAACCAACCAAGAAACAAGATTATTTAAACAAAGCAAACAAATCACTAAGTACAAAACAAAAAAACACAAAGTGTCTCACTGTCCCCACTCTCCCCACCGTTGTCCCGCTCTCCCCTCTTTCCCCACGGTCCCCACCACTGTCCCACTGTCTTCACTGTTCCCACCACTGTCCCACTGTCCCCGCCGCTGTCCAACCGTGCTGTCCCACCGTCCCCACTGTCCCCATCACTGTCCCACTGTCCCCACTGCCCCCACCACTTTCCCCACTGTACTACTGTCCCACACTGTCCTCACCACCGCCTTCACCACTGTCCCCTCCACTACCGTCCCCACCACTGTCCCACTGTCTACCAGGCTTGCGCGCAAAATGCTTTTCCGAATCCATTGGGCTGCGATCGAAAACCTTATCCTAATTCAGCGGCTCCCCTACGAAAACCTTATCCTAACTCACTGGCCTCCCCACGAAAACCGTATCCTAACACCAGGCTTGCGCGCAAAATGCTTCTCCGAATCCATTGGGCTGCGAACGAAAACCTTATCCTGATTTCAGCGGCTCCCCTACGAAAGCCTTATCCTAACTCACTGGCCTCCCCACGAAAACCGTATCCTAACACCAGGCTTGCGCGCGACATGCTTCTCCGAACCCATTGGATTGCTGGCGAAAAACCTATCCTAACTCAGCGGCTTCCCTACGAAAGCCTTATCTTAGCACCAGGCCTACGCGCCAAATTATTCTCCGAATCCATTGGGCTGCGAACGAAAACCTTACCCTAACTCACTGGCCTCCCTACGAAAACCTTATCCTACCACCAGGCTTACGCGCCAAATTCTTCTCCGAACCCATTGGGCTGCGAGCGAAAACCTTATCCTAGCTCACTTGTTGCCTCCCTACGAAAACCTTATCCTAACTCACTTGCCTCCCTGCGACAACATTATCCCAACACCAGGCTTACGCGCGAAATTCGTCTCCGAATCCGTTGGGCTGCGAGCGAAAACCTCATCCTAACTCACTGGCCTCCCTACAAAAACCCTATCCTAACTCACTGGCCCCACCTCGAGGACAACGACGTCTAAACCTCAGGGGCCCCGCGTGAGAACCCAATCCGAATACCTTGGGTTCCGCTCTGCGCGCCTCCGAAAACCTTACCCTAACCTTATCGAAACTCCACGGGTTCTACTCGAAGCGCGAATAACTTCGCGCCTCGCGCTGCAATCTCCTGCTGTCCTAGCTCCAAGGATGCGAAGCGCGTCCACCTTCGCTCTGCGAGCCGTCGTAGGCTCAGACCGCGAAGCGCGAATAACTTCGCGCTTTTGCGCCGCCACCCCGGGAGCGCGAAGCGCGACTAGCTTCGCACCCTCGAGGGAGCCCTTGCCTCCCAAACAGTCGGCACCATCTCAGCCATGAGTTTTCTATCGCCGTTTTTCCGATGGCTACAATTGGCACCTTACTCACATGTCGTAATTGTCAGCCTTTTTTCTGAGCGCCCGAAATTGGCTCGTGACTCGCATGTTCGTTCCGCTTTTTTCTGGATATCTATGCTGGGACGTCACTCACCAGTCAGTTGGGGGAAAATACCCGGCCATACGTTTAGACACGAAATATACATGCGAACATAGACATGTTTAGACACGTTTAGACATGTTCAGACACGGCAGAATAGACACGGCGTAAAATTTTAGACACTGCTTGAAAAATGAACACGTTTAGACACTCGAGCACGCCGTGCAAGCGAGAGCGCCGCGCGTCTATGCATGTCTATAACAACTGGTTGTTTTAGACACTCGCGCACCGCGCTCGAACGAGAGCGCCGCGAGTCTATACGCGTCTAACGCAAAATCGACACGTCTTCCAGGGATGCGGAATGCCGTGTACACGCCCTCCTCTCCCGAGGGCTTCGTCTCTCGTGAAAACAAAACCATGGGGCCGCGCTCCCAGGGCCACGACCCCTCGAAAACACAATGCGTCCTTTGCTCGAGGCCAAGATGGCCCAAAATGCCTAAGGCGCAGCCCAGCATGGCCTCTAAGACGACCAGGTCTGACCCATGGACGGCGCCAACCAAACGTGCGCGGGCACCAGCACCTACCGGCAACTAACAGCAGCTAACTACAACTAAACGGCAAACAAGCAGCCATTAGGCTACAAAGTTGCGCCCAGCAATTGCCACATAATTGCTACGTCCCCGCTCGCTGATGGGAGCCATGGTGTTATTGATCGTCTCTTGGGCCTCGTGGGGGTCTTCTGGGGACCGTGTGGAGCCCTTCTGGAACGCTTTTGGGACAATTTTGGGCAGTCTTGGGGCCCTTTGCGGCCGTCTTGGGGCGTCTTGGGGCTCTCTGTTGGGGCCCCTTTGGGAGCCTCTTTGGGCCCTCTTTGGGCCTCTTGAGGCTCTCTTTGGGGCCGTCTTGGGCCGTCTTGGGGCCCTCTTGGGCCGTTTTGGGCCCCTCTGGGGCCCGTCTGGGAGCCCTGGTGGACCGTTGTCGGGCCCTTTTGGGGCGCCTCTGGGGCCGTCTTGGAACGATGGGGCGTCTTGGGCCGGCGGAGGCCCTCCCTATGGGGCCACGAAGCGCTGTACTGGGTGGGTGAAAATGCCAAATCGGGTGTGCGGGACGCGTGCGGACGGCAGCCTTGGGATCTTCGGTGGGGCTCCCCATGGGGCCACGGAGCGCTGTACTGGGTGGGTGGAACGCAGGGAGGAGGGAGGAGGGGCCCACGAAACGGTGTAGTGGGTGTGCGGGACGCATGCGGACGGCAGCACTGGGACCTTCGGTGGGGCTCCCTGTGAGGCCACGAAGCGCTGTGCTGGGTGGGTGAGACGCAGGGAGAAGGGAGGAGGGGGCCACGAAACGCTGTACTGGATGTGCGGGACGCATGCGCCATCATGGCATGTCCGAGCTCAGCCCGCGGGCTCAACGGTGTTTCGCACTGCATCCGAATGCCATGCCAGACCGATCCGACCCGAGAGCATCACCACCCTGGCTTCCGACGCTTCTCCTCCCAGCCTGGCGAGAAGTCGTGATGCCCGCCCGGCTTCCCCACGAAGGGGTTCACGTGCTCGTCGTGCCCCTTCCAGAAGATCTTCGCGGCCAACTCTGGCCTCTCCTCGAGCAGCGCGAGAGGCCTGTCGATCCCACGCCGCTGCTCCGCGGGCAGGTGGTACCCACGCGTATTGGCCGGGTTGACGAGCTCATTGGACGGCCTGACGTCCATGTACCAGCCGCCAGGCCCAATGTCAAATGCATTCGGGTCGCAGGCTCGCCAGCGCATCTCGTCAATCGTCGGGGCCGACAGCCCAGCGTCTAGACCTGGGAGAGAGAAGGATCCACCGCCGCTCTACTGTGGAAAATTTCGCCCTCCCCTTCCTCCGGAACCCGGCCCCCCCCCTCTCCGAAAATCCCCTCTCCCCCTGCTCGACAATTACACAATATGAAAATACTCTCCCACTTCCCCTGATGGCGTCCCGAAGAAACCCGACACCCCCCCGCGTACGGTTTTTTACACACATGATTCCCGGGAAACGGGTTTTCGCTTGCGCTTGTTTTCAAAATGCTGCTCTCGCTGAGGCGCCGGCCTCATTTCTGCTCCCGAATCGTTCCGAATCGTGCTCCCTCTGCAGCGTGGGCCTCATTTTCGGATCGGTGTTTGACCTCCGTCGTTCAGGATGGCGTTCTCGCCCCAGCGCGGGCCTCCTTCTCGCGCGCCCATCCGCCCGCCACCACCGCGCCGCACCACCACCACCACCACCACCACCACAACCACCACCACCACCACCACCACCACCACGACCACCACCACCACCACCACCACCACCAACCACCACCACCACCACCACCACCACCACCACCACCACCACGACAACCACGCACACACGCACGCACGCACGCACGTGCACCACCACCCACTACGCACGCGCGCGCGGAGCCACAGGTCCGCTACGACACGCGTCCGCGGATAGAGAAAATCAACGCCATGGTAAGGGAGGGGAGGGAGGGGTAGGACGTCAGATATGACGCGAGCGCACTTAGCTTGGCACCCCGCCCCTCCCCCCCCTCACCCCCTCCCCCTACAACCCCCCCACCCCCCCTAACCCTCCCATCCCCAGCCTTCACTGGAAAAAACGTGGGTGGGTCCACATACCTGTTCGAACTGACTGCCCCCCCCCCCTCGCCGCCGGCAAAAGACTCCCGGGTCCCCACCACAGTCTTCACCACCGCCCTCACCACTGTCCCACTGTCCCCACTGTCCCCACCATTGTCCCACTGTCCCCACTGTTCCCACCACTGTCCCCAATGTCCCCACCAATGCCCCCACTACCGTCGCACTGTCCCCACTGTCCCCGCCACTGTCCCCACCACGGTCCCACTCTCCCCACTGACCCCACTCTCCCCTCAACTCCCACAGTCCCCACTGGCCCCGACACTGTTCCACCTTCCCCACTATGCCCGCCGCTGTCCCACTGAGCTGTCCCACTGTTCCCACCACTGTCCCGCTGTCCCCACCACTCTCCCCACTGTACCACTGTCCCATTGTCCCATCACCGTTCTCACCACCGCCCTCACCAGTCCCAACCACCACCGTCCCCGCCACTGTCCCACTGTCCCAACCCCTGTCCCATTGTCCCCTCGCCACTGTCCCCCCCATCACCGTCCCCACCACTGTCCCACTGTCCCCATTGTCCCCACCACTGTCCCACTGTCCCTACTGTTCCCACCACTGTTCCCACCACTGTCCCCACCACTGTCCCCACTGTCCCCGCCAGTGCCCCCACCACTGTCGCACTACCCCCACTGTTCCCACCACTGCTCCCACCACGATCCCACTCTCCCCACTGTCCCAACTGTCCCCACCACTCTCCCCTCTGTCCCCACTGTCCCCACCACGGTCCCACTCTCCCCACTGTCCCCACTGTCTCACTGAGCTGTCCCACTGTGATGCCCCTCTGTCCACAATGTCCCTACCACCCCACCACTGTCCCACTGTCCCCAGTGTCCCCACCGTTCTCCCCACTGTACCACTGTCCCAATATCCTGACCACCGCCCTCACCACTGTCCCCACCACCACCGTCCCCACCACTGTCCCACTGTCCCCATTGTCCCCGCATCTGTCCCATTGTCCCCAAAGTCCCCAACACTGTCCCCACTGTCCCCGCCAGTGTTTCCACCACTGTCGCACTACCCCCCCTGTTCCCACCACTGTCCCCACCACGGTCCTGCTCTTGCCACTGTCCCCACTCCCAACCACCATCCCCACCACCGTCCCAACCATTGTCCCCACCAGTACCCCATCCGGAGTGGGAGAGGACGGGGAGTCGTTGCGGCGAGGGAGGAGGGGAGGGGAGGGGGGGGGTCGAACCGGTAACTAGTGACACCTCCAGATTTTCCAGGAGGGGGGGGGAAGGGGTTCGAACCGGTAGTGACCCCCCTCCATTTCATGATGGACGGGGGGAGAATTGGGGGGTCGGAACCCCCAGTGACCCCCCCTGCTTGTCGAGAGGGGGGGGGGCGGGTTGGAACCCCCCAGTGACCCTCCCTGGTTTTCTGCCAGCAACGTTAGAACACGCTCTTTCAGACCTGGCACCCTAGGCTCCGCGTAGTGCGTGTACTTGAAGATGACCTCATCGTTAGACATCGCAAAATTGTGGATGTGACGGGAGGCCACGACAGGCGTCATACTGCCAGAGCTGCCAGTGCGGACCTCCTGCATGTCGATCCCGCCATCCATGACACAGACCGCGAGGATAGCGTCTGGGTGCCACCACGCAGGAACGGTGGTGGGACAATCGATGTAATACTCAAACACTTGGGAACGCAACAATACCTTCGCGTCTTTGACGCATGCGTCTTGTGGTTTTCTGCCCCCAGCCAGCTTGCGCTTCACCTCCGCGAACACGGGGCTCTCACACTCAGCGAGGGCAACAAGAGACTCACGAAGCGGGATTTCGTCAGAGTCCGCGACGATGAGGATGTCCTCTTTGTGCAACTCCCATGTGCCCGCGGAGTCCTGCAAGCCCCTTTGGAATTGGGCGCGGATCCACTCCTCCAAGATGAACGGATCCGTGCTTTGGTGATGCCCTGGCCTGCTCAACTTATCCCGCTGCTCTGAAGACCATTTCGGAAATAGTTTGGGGTTCCACTCTGGAATCGGATTCTCCAACACGACGTGCCGCAGCTTGTCCCCATAGCGCTTCCACCTCGCGTCAGACATGTTCAAGCTCGGCTGCCTTGGAGCTCCTGTCAGGGTCACTAAAGGATCCAAAGCAACGATCCGATCAACGAGCGGATAGATCTCTGCGAAAGTCAGGTCATAGACGTCCTGCTGGCCGTTGTTCCCGACGAGGGTGCAGTAAAATAGACGCGGTCTTCGCTGACCCTCTGGACGAGCTGTCCAGCCGAAATGCTTGCAAAGCCCATCGATCCCGAACTCCTGCGCCACGCTCGCCGCCACCAGGACCAGGGGTCTGGCCCGCTCGGTCGCTGCCGCCACAGGCACGGCCACGCCAACGCCTGTGGTGGGCTCGCCCGCGCACAGGGCTGGCCGCCCGGGCGGCGACCCTGCGCTTTCCTGCAGCCCTTGGAAACCGAAGGAGATTGCGTACGAGGCTCCCGCCAAGTCGGACAATCTCGCCAGGCCCGCGGCAGCCCCCAGGCAGAAGCCGACCGTGAGCCCGGCGCCGGCTGTGAGAGCGTATCGGATGCAGTGGTAGCCCATGATTAACCGCTCATGGCCGCTCGTACGTCCCATGATTAACCGCTCGGGGCCGCGCTTACTTGCCTGCTCGGACTCCACCTTGAGCCGAAAGGGTACGGATCATGATGGGGATGATGCTGCTGATGATGATGATGATGGTGCTGATGATGATAATGATAATGATGATAATGATGATAATGATGATGATGATGATGCTGATGATGCTGATGATGCTGATGTTGATGCTGCTGCTGATGATGATGGTGGCGGTGGTGATGCCGATGAGCAGATGAGGACGTGGACGATAATGGTGGTGATGAGGGGGTGGGCGACAACGGCAACGACGAAGACGAATACGATTATCCCAGTGCGACCCTACCTAGGAGTTGGAGCATCTAGGAAAGCAACATCTACATCTACATCGACAGCTACATTAACATCTACACCTGCATCTACATCTACATCAACATCAACAGCGATATTCACATCTACATCTACATCTACATCTACATCTACATCTACACCTGCATCTACATCTACATCTACACCTACATCTACATCTACATCTACACTTTCGCATTGGTTTTGTTCCCAACCATCATGTGGTGTTGGGTCCTCGTTTTGAAGAGACGGTGCCCCGCGTTCCTCTCCTTCCTTCCTTCCTTCCTTCCTTCCTTCCTTCCTTCCTTCCTTCCTTCCTTCCTTCCTTCCTCCCCCCTCCTCCCCACCCCCCCCTCCTCCTGCCCGCGTGCGGTTCCTCCACCCAGGGCAGCGTTTCGTAGCCCCATAAGGAGCTCCACCGAAGGCCACAGTGGGGGTGTCCACATGCGGTTCCCCCACCAGCGCAGCGTTTCGTAGCCCCATAGGGGAGCTCCACCGAAGGCCCCAGTGGGGGTGTCCACATGCGGTTCCCCCACCCACGGCAACCCCTCGTAGCCCCATAGGGAGCTCCACCGAAGGCCCCAGTGGGGGTGTCCACATGCGGTTCCCCCACCCAGCGCAGCGTTTCGTAGCCCCATAGGGAGCTCCACCGAAGGCCCCAGTGGGGGTGTCCACATGCGGTTCCCCCACCCACGGCAACCCCTCGTAGCCCCATAGGGAGCTCCACCGAAGGCCCCAGTGGGGGTGTCCACATGGGAAAGGACGAGGAGGGCTAGGTGGAACACGTAGAGCAGCATGAGAAGAATGAGTAACGGGATAGGGATTCGCTTTTAGCTTACACCACATAGCTTGACCACGGTGGACATAGCTTACACCACGGTGGGCGCGGCCCTTGGCGGCCAATATCCGGTCCTATTGGCTGACATCGGGTGCTATTTGCTGCTGTCGGCTCCCGGCGGCTACACTCGGCTGCTATACGAGACTGCAGGCTCACATCAAAACTACCGAGTGTTAAACCCAGGGTAAAGAGGGGGAAGAAATAAGGAGCATCCTCATTGATCCTCCTCTTCTTCCTCCGGTTTTCCTGCTCACGCGAGGGGATGCCAATCGAGCGCATCGTACGAGACATCCCCACGACCTGCTCTGGTACAAGTCGCGTCACAATTAACTTGCCAAATGTGTCGATCGAGAGTTTGGCCTAAAAGTGTCCCCATCCGCTTCTTACCCTTCGTCCTCCTCCCCCATCCACCTCCTCCTCCTCCTCCTCCTCCTCCTCCTCCTCCTCCTCACTCCTTCCATTCAGCTCCCTCCATCCACCCATCCCACTCGAGCGGTGGCGCAGGAGTTGTGAGGATGTCTCGAGCGGCGGCGCCCGAATTGTGAGGACGTTTCGAGCGGCGGCGCCGGAGTTGTGAGGATGACTCGAGCGGCGGCGCCAGAGTTGCGAGGTTGTCTCGAACGGCGGTGCCAGAGTCGTGGACGCTCCTGACGCCCTTGGCTCTCCTGACGCTCCTGACGCTCTTGACGCTCCTGACGCTCCTGTCGCCCCTGACGCTCCTGACGCCCTTGACGCTCCTGACGCCCCCCGGCGCAAGAGTTGTGAGGATGTCTCGAGCGGCGGCGCCGAAGTTGTGAGGATGTTTCGAGCGGCGGCGCCGGAATTGTGGTGATGTCTCGAGTGGCGGCGCTGGAGTTGTGAGGATGTCTCGAACGGCGGCGCTGGAGCTGTGAGGATGTCTCGAGCGGCGGCGCTGGAGTTGTGGACGCCCCTGACGCTCCTGACGCTCTTGACGCTCCTGACGCTCCTGACGCTCCTGACGCTCCTGACGCTCCTGACGCTCCTGACGCTCCTGACGCTCCTGACGCTCTGACGCTCCTGACGCTCCTGACGCTCCCGGCGTGCCCGACGCTCCCTGACGCTCCCTGACGCTCCCTGACGCTCCTGACGCTCCTGACGCTCTTGACGCTCCTGACGCTCTTGACGCTCTGACGCTCCTGACTCTCTTGACGCTCCTGACGCTCGAGCGGCGGCGCCGGAGCTGTGAGGATGTCTCGAGCGGCGGCGCCGGAGTTGCGAGGATGTTTCGAGCGGCGGCGCCGGAGTTGTGAGGATGTCTCGAGCGGCGGCGCCGAAGTTGTGAGGATGTTTCGAGCGGCGGCGCCAGAGTTGTGAGGATGTCTCGAGCGGCGGCGCCGGAGTTGTGAGAATGTCTCGAACGGCGGCGCCGGAGTTGTGAGGATGTCTCGAGCGGCAGCGCCGGAATGGTGGACGCTCCTGACGCTCCTGACGCTCCTGACGCTCTTGACGCTCCTGACGCTCCTGACGCCCCTGACGCTCCTGACGTTCTGATGCTCCTGACGCTCCTGACGCCCCCCGGCGCCCCCGACGCTCCCTGACGCTCCCTGACGCTCCCTGACGCTGCTGACGCCCCTGACGCTCTTGACGCTCCTGACGCTCTTGACGCTCTGACGCTCCCTGACGCTGCTGCGCCAGCTCTCCGAAACTGGAACCCAAGAGTCGGATCGGCCAGGAATCGAAGCTCCTGAGTTAGCCAAGCCTCTCAGGGGCAGCTGGCGAAAGGCCATGAAAGGCCTGGCCAAGCTTGGTGCTGGCATATCACTGAACCCCCCCCGCGAACTTCACGCGACGCCCCATGACTTTCGAACCAGCCGGCCTTGAAGGCGATGTGATATCACTTCTTTTTTGCGCAACGGCAAAGCGAGGTGCAGTAGCAGCAGTGGTCTGGCTGATGGGGCAACGTCGGGCCTATCCTCCGACGAAGTGCCACACAGCATCTAACGCAAGGACAAGGAAGTCCGCCCACCCCTTTGGGTGAATGGTGTGTGAAATCGACGGGCAACCCGCCTCATGCAATGCCCAGGTACCCTCGCCCATTTGACAAGTGGCCCCGATTGACAGATTTGCCACTGGGAACAAGGAGGGTTCCAGTCTCCCGAGTGTCCACTGAAAAGTGACACAAATTGACAGGACATCTTTGAGCCCAGAAATGGGAGATCTCGGGCGAAATTGGTTGAACCACCTCAGGTCTGGGCATCCCCGAAAATACAATCCCGACGATGTCTCAAGCGAAAAAGATCAAGACCACGTGAGGTGAGGACATAAGACGTACATAAACCTGGAACGGCAATGAGATCTCAAGCGAAACGAACAGTCCACGGCAACTGCGAGCCCAGAGCAGCGAGGAAACGGGATCTGATACCGTGCGGCAAGAGCATCGACGAATCCAGAATAACGAGGATGCACCGGGCGAAGATTGCTCTGCGAGGATGTTTCAAGCCAAAAAGCTGGACCGCCTCATGACAGCGGCGAAGAAGCCGAAGCGAAATGGGCTGGACTCTCTCGCGCGGCAACTCGAAGCCCATAACTGTAGGGATGTCTCGAGACCGGCCGGACCGCCTCACAGGCGGCATCTCAGGGCCCAAATTACCGATGATGGCTTCGCCGAAACCGACCCAGACAACTTCTAGCATGTGGTCTCCTAACTCAAAGACCCAGCCGTCTTCTGGGCAGGAGATGGTCAATCGCGGTTCCTTGTCCAACCCCATGTTTCCCCTTCGGGGATGGGGTCGTTGCTGCTCCTGGATGATACTTGCCACCTCGCCCAATCTACCGACCGCTAACCCGAGTCACTGCCACCCCCCTCGATTCAAACCAAGAACAAATTGAAATACCCCCAGGCGGCTCCCCCATCGGAGCTCGGAAGTGCGATGCGATCTGTCGGAACGATGGTCATCGGATTATCATGGTCATGTAGATCCGCCACCGTGCCTCTGGGCACGGAGTGGGCGTGTCCTCAGGTTCTTGCCATCATCCTCTCAACCTCAACCATCACGCCTGAGGAGTCGTTCAGAGCCCCAGACCCCACATCGCGACATCTTCTCCTGGGGCTTCTCGCGGTTTCTCTCTTGTGACCGTTTCGGAACGATGGCGGCCCCAAAACGGGCCCAAGAGGGCCCAAAGAGGCCCACGACGGCTCAGAACGCCCCGAGACGCCCAAAGATCGCTCCAAGACGCCCTAAATGGTCTCAAGATGGCCCAAGAGGCCTCCAAGATGCCCCAAGAGGCCTTGAAGATGCCCCCCGAGAGGACCCTGAGAGGCAAAAATCCGCCGACCCCTTGTGGGTCTCTAGGCGTGTGAGATAGTTCCCCCCCCAAAAGTACCCCCCCAGGGACCCCAAACCGGCGATTTGACCCCTCCCCCCGGGCCCGGGACGAGCGACTCACGGGCTTTTTTGGGCCCAAAAAGGGCTCAAGACGGGCCAAGAAGGTCTCAAGACGCCTCCAAGACGGCCCACGAGGGCTCCGAGACGCCACACGAGCGCTCCAAGACGCCCAAGATGGTCACATGACGAGCCAAGAGACCTCCAAGACGGCCCAAGCGGCCTCCAAGAGCAGTCCTCAGAAGGGCCTACGAGCTGAAAACTGCGAAATTCCTATGAAAAAACCTACATTTTGATGATATACGACTTGACGGCCTTCACGGCGTTGAAGACCGTCCAAGAGCACCCTAAGACCGCTCCAAGACGGCCCAAGAGGCCCCCAAGAGGCGCCCAAGTCGGCCCCAGAGGGCGCCAAGACGGCCCAATAGGCCCCCAAGACTTCCCAAGAGGGCCCCAAGACGGCCCCACGAGGGGCCCAAGAGGGGGAGCTTGAACCGACAATCCGAGCCTTCCGCCCCAAGACGGCACCAGAAGGCCCCAAGAGGCCA